ATTTTATTTGTATAGCACCAATTCATAACAGAAGTTATCTCAGGACAGCTTTTCAAATAGAGCAGGTCTAGACGGAACTCCTTATAAGCGATAGATAAACCAAAGGTCAGATCTTTTTCCAAATAAAAAAACAACAAAACAACAAAAAGCCCAACTACCATGATACAAATAAAATTAAATTTCAAATACGACATAATCGTACAGTAAAGTTAAGTCTTTTTTTTGTTTGGTCGTTGTTTTTTAACATTTTAAGTCAATTTATTAATAAGCATTAATTAAATGTAAATCCTCTACATTCATGCAGTTAGGTTCTATTGGCTATTTAAAACCAAATACACAATTAATCGTCATATACCATTCGGTTGTTGTACGCGGAGGATCTCGTTGTCGCCATCACTCGACTGAATTGTGTGAAAGGGTGAATGTCAGCACGTATTAACAGTGCTTTGAGCCTGGTCAAACGCACGAACAACAACCAAACACACCAGAAATAGAAGGCGCTATATCCAAGTAGCAGGTCCTTGAACATTTATCATACGAATTGAATCAGCCCCTGCACCCCACTCAGGTGGCGCCTCCTGGCGGCTGGCAAAGACGTGAGGAGGCCGGGGGCCTCTGTGGTGCCGTGATGGAAGGAGGTTTCGAGGCTGAGAGAGAGGATGGATGGTAGCAGTAGGTATCCTGGCACATTCTTAATTTGTGTTCATTAATGTTTGTGCTCAGACATTTACATTGAAAATAGTCACACAGCACCTATTACCAGTTAGCATAATCAGCATATAATCATGTCTTGTCTTCTTGCGTCGAGAGAAAAAAAACGCCAACACCTTTATGGAAATCCACGGTAACAGCACAAGTTCTTCAATGTCTGTCAGTGAAGCTGAGTGTGTGTTGTGTGTTGTGTGTGAGTGGGATGCTGCAGACAGGCTCAATTTACCCTGTGGCCTCGAAGTTCGAATGAATGGCCCACTTGAGTATGTTTTCTTGCATCAAATCAGTCATCCTGAGGTCCTCCGTCGCCAGCTCGGTGGTTCAGTGTGACTGTCACAGGTTCAATATATGAGAATTTAATTGTGCAAAAATCAAAGAGTACAACATCATCTTACTAAAGATAAAAGTTAAAAAGTACGGTACAAAAATCTGAATAATATTAATGCATCATCGCAGAGGCTGCTGGCATGTGGTTGCCATATTGAAATTGCTGATTTGCTTTATGGGCCCACCATGCAAAATATCTCTAGGTGTAGGAGCTTACACATGGGAATTGAATTGAATTGAATCTAAAACATATATCCCCATCACCAAGTGAAAAGCTTTATCATTGCAATTGATCCACCTGCCTTGAGCGCAGCACATGTGGTATAGGAATCTGGACTGACAGCCTGTGCGACTCATCCAGATACTGGGTTTGGATCTATGAGCTCATCACATACATTTGTTGCTCAGTTTGCTGAAATAGGCAGCACGGCAGACATTTTGAACTGTCAAAGCAAATCTCAGTTCCATTAAGTGTCCCAGTAACAGTGACAGTGAACCAGCATGCACAATGGATGTTTCCGATTGTGACACCACAGAGCCAGTTAGTGGGATAAGGAACAAAAGTTAACATTTGTTAACATTAACTATATCTCGATTCTAGATCTAGAGAAATGTTCATGGAGTGGCAGGGAGACTTAGATATAGAATATAGACAGAGGCATGTTGATGTTATTTTACTTGAGAGGCCATTGTGTTTGAATAGTTGTTCTTCTGTTTTATTGTGGATTTTTTTGCATATTATGTTGTATATATTGTATTTAATATATGCAGGTTGTGATATTGTACGGCTGCTACCTTGGTCAGGTCTCTCTTATAAAAGAGATTATTAAGCTCAATGCGACTTTGTGGTAAAATAAGAAGAAAATAAAACATATATCAATATTTGCTTGGAAAAGCCCCCAAATGATATTTGAACTCACATTATCGTGGCTCATTAGTAAAGCACTGAACAGAAGTGTCTAAAGGAGGCATTAGAAATCAATACACTGTGAAAACAAAAGTGAGTCATAAAACAGGGATCTATTGCCCCTCTGAATGTAACCACACCATGATGTCATCCTCACAGCATCAGTGTTAACCCCTTTTTTGTCAAAAAAATACAAAATAAAATTGTTTATGGTATTTTTCAGTTGTGCTATATCAAACATATTCTGTATATTTTATTTGCTAAAATGAGATAAGAATCCAGATGATTACATTGCTGTTGATTGACTCACTGTTAAAGCCACCAGCCTGGTGCTACTGTGGGCCTGCAGAGTTCCCTCATCACTTCCTCCAACGTGAACAGGAAACAGGAGGAGGAAGAGTAGTGGGAGGAATTAAGATTAGATTAGATCAGATTAAGATGGTCTTTCATTTATGAAATAATTTTAAAAAATATATGGCGTTTTTATTATTAGTATTAAAGTGTTTTTAATTATGATTATGGTTATTTTTAAATACAATTATTGTCTTGTGTATTTATTTATTTATTTATTTATTCTAAGATCAAAATGTGTGTCACTGTCAGAGCTCCACTTCCGGCACAGCAGCTGGTCTGAGATCGGGTTTCTTTGTTGTGGATCTCTCGTGCTCCGAGCCTGCGGTCGGACAGTAGAAACTGATTCCAGGTCGGTTGTCAGGGTTTGACTCTGCCTTCTCATCTCCTCCAATCAGAGCCGCCCAGTCAGCCCTGGTGTATGCGTGCCAGCTGTCAGACTGCACACAGTCAGAGCCAAACATACAGGAAATGTGACACTGTCTTCAAAATAAGAGGCTTAAAGGGATGAAATAAAAATACAAAACTAGGTCCTTTGGATAATCATATCAAAGGAAATGTACCATCAATTAAAAATTACTTAGAATTTTGACATACAGACATTTTTATTCCAAACATATATCTCTATATATACGTCTTAATCAAGCGCAACCTATCTGAAGCCAACACAGCAGTACCAAAAACTGCAGTTCCTCTAA